CCACCCCTTCGACACTGCCGAACACGCTCGCCTTCTTCCAGTCTAGGTACCAGGAGGAACGTATGTTAATAGAAATAAATGCGAAAATGAACAAAGCACCACAGTCAGACAGACTGGTCTGAGCATCAAAGAAAGGTTGTAAGGCAAAGGTGTTTCAGCCTCGTACATCAAGCTAGCCAAGGAGTCATTCTAGTAACACGACACACTCCTCTGCACAAAGACAAACTGGTTTTAGATGAATCTAGGTTAAAAAAATGAAACGCTGTCAAATCAGCTACGTCGCAAGGACAGCATAAAGAGAACAGCTGAGGTGTTAACCTGCTTCGTTCCAAGGTGCAGCCAAACCACCCAGGACACCCAGGTGGTTGGGGAGAACACTGACATCGGGACAAAGCACCAAAAGCAGCAAGCAAGCGTTCTCCGTTGTGTGACTCATCCTCGCTTCACAGACAGCACACAGGAGGAGGCTCAGGTTCTGGACAGGCCCCTTCTCCACAGTTCCTGACCATTTTCTTACTGTCTCTCGTCAAGGTTGCTGCTTCTGCAGCGAGCAGGACACGAAAGCTTTACCTCTGGATTTCTATTTCTGCCTTATCATCACCATCAGGATCTACAAATCTCACCGAGCACGAAACCTGGCGCACGTGACCAGCTGTCAGAGCAACTTTTCAGGCATTAAGGTTTTTTTTTTTTTAAAAAAAAAAGCTTTTTATCACCAATAAGGACATTGCAAAGGGCAGATGTGAAAAATGAGAATTACAGTGTGAGCTTAAGTCACAGGGAAGATTTCTACCTGGAATGCTTTTTCCTCCAAGAGCTCTTGAAAGCGTGCTTGCTTCCACAAACAGAGGCTGGCTCTTTTGCAGCTCCGAGAGGGGCACGACAGGGAGCTCCAGGTTAGGGCAGTTTTAGCCTCCTCCTCGCACAGGACTCCCCGAGCTTCCAAGCTGAGCCGCGGCACCACGTACTGCAGCTAAAACAGAGGCACAAACCCTGCACGCTTCCACCGCGAAAAAAGGCCCGGTGCAACCTCTGGTTGCGGGAAACGGCCCAACACGCAAATCCACAAGCTGGTGAGATGGGAGGGTACAAAGCCGCATCTTTACAAGGTTTTCTTACAGGGGCACAGGGGTCTGCAGCGGGAAGTGGAACCGAGACGGAGCTGTCTCATACGTAACAGCAAAACTTCTTTCCTTTTACCTTTTTAACAAGGCCAGGGGGAAGCAAGGCACACAAATCCTCACGAGACGAGGATGGAAACTTGCACATAAGATAAGATGCTGCTGCAGTGCAAAACCTGTCCGAGGAAAACAAAGATCTCCGTCACCTGGTTGGTTCGATCGCACCTTTCCCCACTCCTGAAAGGCCAAAGGCAAGGCAAAGACCGTTAAAAGTGCTTTTCACCACCACGTCCCAAACCGGCTGGCTTTTGGGGCCACTCTGTTTACGTGCTCCCAACCCCAGGTACCCCAGGGGTGCACATTTCAGAACCTAATGGTACAAATTCCGAGAGTTTCAGAGACTAAACGAAGCCCTTCGACGGCGTCCGTCAGTCCTTCCTCCAGCAGGCAGCGCAATCGGCAGGACGCCGCTTCACGCAGGACCCGCACCAGCCGGTCTCTCCGAGCGGCACGCACACCTCTGGAAACCCTCTGCGGGAACACGGGCGCTTTACCAGCGCCCCAGCGGTGCCTGACCTAAACCCCCTGCCGGGGGAGCGAGGGCGCGGGGGCCGCGTGGTCTTACCTCAGGCAGAAGGCAAAGGACGCTTCCGTCCTGCACACCAGCAAGCCGTCCCAGTACTCGGAAACGGAAAGGAGCTTTTCGGGAACAGGCTGAGAAATCCCAAAACGGGCTTCCACGTCAGGAAGTAAAGCTCTGGATTCACTCAAGTGGATCACAAAAGCGGCTAGTCCCAAAACGTGAGTGTCGTTCAGGGAAGGACCCTGCGAGACAAAGCGTGAGGAAAGAACTGAGGAGAGGGAGACATTTCATCTGTAGCAAAACGACCTTTCCCAGAAAACCCCCTCAGAATTAATCAAGTAGCAGGCCATGGCTTCTGCCCATTGACTAATTACTGCAGCAATATCAATTGAGCAGACAAGAGGCACCAGTTACATTAAACATGTTCTTCCTCCCTCGAAATTGTGCCGCCATCTCTTTGGCCAACCTGCAGCAAAGCTTGTACATTTCTGTAAAAGAACAATTTCGAGCAGCTAGCTGTAAGTTCAGCCCAGCAGAAGGTGAGACTCTCGAGGCTTTTTAGCTTCTACGACAGCTAACCTAGGCTAGCAACCTGCTAATTTCGCCTTTTCAATGTCACAGGGTAAAGAAAATGAAACCAACAGTTCTTTACAGAAAACCATACGCTGCGGCACCCCAGATTTGGGGCTCTCTCATTTTTAAAAGGGGCACACAACTGTATTGTTCAACGTGGAAGCTTGGAATTAAGAATTCTACTATTTCTCTTCAGGCTCGTTCCTAAACTTGCTTATTTCAGCTTCTGTTAAAATGCGTCTCAGAATGCATTAACCTCCCACAGTAGGAAGGTTAATGTAGGGATTTCAGCTCACATTCCCGAGAGCAAGCCCGCGCTATTTGTCCAAAATGAGGGGTTTTTTTTTTTGGAAGCCCGAGAGGCAGTGAAGTCCCTGACAGCGCAGTCCAGACAGCCACACGCCTCACAGCTCAGGAAATGGCGCTAGGAGAGCCTTTAGCACCCTGCAACCGTGTGATTTGTGGTTGGAAAACTAACCTGATGATAAATGAGCTGGCAGAGCCTGCCCAGAAGCGCAGGTAGGAGATTCCTGTGTCCACACATCATCTTCACAAACAAGGAGAGACACGGCCCCTGCCTGCAGAAGGTAAAACCCACAAGCTCGTTTTACTGCTTCCCTTTACCCCCACCACAGGAAGAGGTATTTAAAAATGCTTAAGCCCATCGAACCTGAGCCAGGCTTGTCTATAAACGCAGGACAATTATCATTCCATTTACGGGCTCGAAGGAGGCGTCCCTTTCGGGGTAGCTGGACAGAGGACCCCTAACAAAGGCACGGACTCCACCAGTGCCCTGCCTCGAACCCTTGATCATCCCTAGTCAAAGAGGTGTTTTGAGATGACAACAAGGAGAGGAGGAAGCTGCCTGGGGCCCAGACAGCTTTTTTTTTTTTTTCAGACAGAGAGCACAAGGTAAACAGAGGCAGAGCAATGAATGGGATCAAAAAGCAAGAGCAAAAAGAAATGAGTATGACGAGGTCCTGTTGCAAAGCAGAGGAAGGGACTTTCCCACCCAGCTGGCAGGAAAAAAAAACCATCCTCAGAGGAGATCAGATGGGGAGCTGGGTTTAGAAACAATTCCCTGGGACGCCCTTGTTTATCACAGCTACTTTCCCGCTCAGGTTTTCAGTACAGATTCATCCGCTCCAAGGCAAAACCAGTTTAACAGAGGGAAAAGATGCTCAAGTCGCCAAAGCGAGGCAGCCACCGAGTTCAGCGCTGGCAGCAGCTGGGATCACAGGCAGCTTGTCAGCGCGTGGCTGTGTCCCCAACAAAGCCATTTTCCACCAAAAGGCTGACCATAACGCTTACAGACTTCTTCACATCACGAAGGAGGTGCCTAGAGTCCTTCCAGTGGCGGAGGAGTGCTACCTCTCCCCTCCTCACACAGGCCTGAATCAAACTGAGTCTCTTCCGGGGGGAAAGAGGGGACGGTGGGAAAGGGGGGACGGCGGGAAAGAGGGGAGGTATATCACGCTGCTGTTGCTGAGCCTGCAGCATTAGGCTTTGTGCCTCCCTCATTTCCTATTAGATATGGCATCAGGGATGAAGGCTGAACGTGCCAAAAGCACCAAACACACCAAACAGACACCCCAAAGACACATCAGTGCTCGCTGTCACAAGACAAGCATTCTCCTCCCCCACTCTCTAGTGTCAGCCAGTGATTAATTCCCGGACAAAAAGAATTTGCTTCACTCTCCACCCCCCACCACCGAGCTGAAAACGCCAGCCTGAGCACGTCGTACGTGTGGAAAGTTTTTGGAGGCTGTCACGGAGCACGAAGCAGAGCCCAAATGCCACCTTTTTCTGAAGGGATCAGGACCGACGGCGCAAACAGGTTTTATTCACGCAGAGACATCAAAGCGCGTTAGTTCTTGGCTTGCAGGAGCTCAGGGTGAAGCAGCCTGCCGTCGGCAGCCCGGCACAGCGGGTACCACCAGCCAGAAGTCGCTCCTCGCCCCTGGACAAGCGTTGGAATTCTAGTGCATTAACCCGTTTTGATCTCACTACTTTTACTTGCATCTTACCTGTCGGGGGGGTTGGAATAGGAAGCAGCGATGAGGTTTTGGCAGAATGATGTCAGCAGAAGATCAACAACCTGGAATAAGAGACACGCTGCTAATTCCTACTTGTCTGGCTGGATCCCTAGATCCAGTTCTCTGCTGCATATATATGATGTTTCCCGACATTAAAACACGGAGACAAATCAGTTAACGACATTTGCAAGCGACACAGACCCGCTGGCACAGAGGAGAGAGGGGAAGTTAAGCCCCTAACAGCCCAGGAATGAGCCCAGCACACAAGTATCCAGACAAGCCCGGTGGGGAAAGCCCAGCTGAGGATTGCTCTGGTGGAACGTATCTCTAGATCTCACCACCAGGCACCCAACAACTTCCTGGAGGTTAAAACCTATGAACAGCCTGGGCAGCGCAGACAAAAGGAGGATGTATTTCCTGTTCCCCACAGACAAAGCAGCCTTTCACAGGTGATATTAGGAAAAAATTCTTTACTGAAAGAGTGGTTAGACACCGGAACAGGCTGGAAGTGGAACAGTCACCATCCCTGGAGGGGTTCTAAAGATGTACAGATGTGGTGCTTAGGGACCCGGTTTAGTGCTGGGCTTGGCAGTGCTAGGGTAATGGTTGGACCTGATGATCTTAAAGGTCTTTTCCAACCAAAATGATTCTGTGATTCTATCCCGAGGCATTTTTACCTGCCCAAGCCCACTCCTCACCCCAAGCCAGACTCACACTCTGATGGCGGGGTTCCAGCCTGGGGGCAGAAAGGTCAATTTGGACGGGAGAATTCAAAGTGGCTTCACTCTCATCACTGCTGTGACCCAAGACGCTCGCCAGTCTGTCAGAAATCACAGCAATCTGTGCTGGCACATCTGCAGGAAGGTAACAGGAGAAGAGGAGAAGCAGGGCAGAAGGCATGAAAGATTTACAGCTCCACATAATGGGAAAAAGAACAAGTGAAATTCATACTCTAATCGGTCAGAGCCCAAAGTACGTTATGAAGAGCTTTAATGAGCAAAAAACGTTAGCTGCAACAGTGATCACCATCTTCATTTTAGAAGACAGCATTATTTTTCCCCCAGTACTATTACCAACACCCATCAAGAGTACTTTTTCACACCAGGAACGGCCTCCAAAAGGGGGCCCAGGTCACGGGGCGAGCCCCAGGAATGGGGCTGCCCATCCTGGCACAGGTCGGGGCGGTACCGAGCGATCACCACAGAGACGCCGACCTCAGGTTCCGAACTCGGGTGTGGGAAATATGTCAGACATCAAAGTGTCTACATATTCATAGCTGGAAGGATTATAGAGATGGGAAAGATTGCCAGCTTCATGTGCCAGCGGTGCTGCTGCCGCCGCCTTGGCTGGCCTGACCCACGGGCGACTGACTGACGAACAGTCGGTTACGGGCCGCTGTGACTTCCCTTCCCGCACACCTTCGTGTTTAGCCTGGTCCACAACCAGCGTCCTCAGCTCAGCCAGTTCAGCCTTCAGCTGCTCAGCGGGCTCTTTGGAACGGCTGGTCTCTGCTTTTGCTTCATCTGGGCAAGGAAGAGAGAAATGCAAGGCATCATCCTCACCTCTGTGCACCACATCACTGCACGAAGCGCGTGCAGCAATCTCCGCGCCTATTTTCTGTAAAAGCGGTGTTTACTTTTCCACAAGCTGTAGCCGATCCCCAAACTGCCGATCTGCCACCTACACAGCTTTACTTTCACATCCAAAAGGTGCCATTTGATTAATCATTTATGAGTTTATGCCTAGTTTCAGAAAGGAATTCATGTTTTAAAGACAAGAGGCAAGAGAGCTCTCCTTTCAGAGGTGCCTTCCCACTCGCTTTAGCTCTCCGCCCCTCCCAGAAGCATTTGCTGTCCTCAAAAGACTGGAATCGGTCTCAAAATAGAGACAGACATGACGGCGTGAACACTACATCGGCTCCTCCTCAAGCCCAGCACAATGCAACAGCTCCAGACGTTTCACGTTACCCTATTCTGGGTTTTGTTCAAAAGAAAAAAGAAAAAAAATAAAAATAAAAGGAAATTCCTTTTACCACTAGAAAAAGAGTGCCACCAGCAACAAGCTGCCGCAGCACAGCCCCAAAAACCACCCGTGCAGTTCGTTAGACTGGAACAGCGCCTTGGACACGGGCCAGAAATAACCCAACCATGAACAAGGGAAGTAAATAACAAAAGCTTAAAATTAATCCTCGTCACAAACACGCTGCAGAGCAACAAGGCGTCGGGAGACTGCTGAGTCACCGCTGCAACGGGGCTGGCTTAGAGCCGGCCAACGCTCCGTCCTGCCCCAAATCCAGCCTGTGCAAGGGCCCCAGGGATGGATTATCGGGATGCAGGCTCGGGATGAGGACTCGGGGGATGGGATTAGGACGCAGGGGACGGGAGGGGACGCAGATCGGGCTGGTGGGGACGCAGGGGAGACGGCTCTGGCCGCGCCACTAGAGGTCAGTGGCAATTCAAGGACTCCCGCAGAGCCCGGGCTGCCCCTTGGGATCCAGCCGATCCCGGCAGGTAGGATCCCGCATCCCTGCCGGTTGCCAGGACAACCTCCGCAGGAAGCCGGCGCACGCTTCCCCCAGGACGGGCGTGGTCACGCCTCAACTGCGACAGCACCGCCAGAAGCTTCCTCGGGACGCCCAAGGCACCCGGAGTAGGGGGTCAGTCCCAGCCCCGTCCCCGTCCCACGCTCTGGGAACGCTCTCTGCTCGCCAGCCTGACCTTCTCGCTCGGGATAAACCCGCCGTGGGGACGGCGCCCGTTTCAAGATGCCTCTGAAACACCCACCGGCTGAAAAGAGGCAGGAGAGCTCGTTAAGTCTCCATCACAGCGACACGCACCGCACCAGTAACGCGGCTACAGCGATGGGCCCCGAAACCAGCGGGGCCTTCCCCCCCCCTCCCCCCTAAACTGCGCTCCACTCC